TTTCTTTTTCTTTTTCTTTTCTTCATTACTTTCTTTTCATGTGCTTCGATACCATTAGCATTTGCTTTGAATACTTGATCATTATTTCACAAGCATTGAGCGTCACAAACATTTATGGACTACTTTTTTTTTCGGTTTCACAAAAAACAGATTGTTCAGAAGTTTAATTAGTTTTCAATTTGTACTTGTCTTGCAAGTATAGCCATATTTTGTGAATGTCCAAAATGTATTTGACATTTTTCAGTATTCTTCGCTAAAACATTATCTAAGTTTCAAAATTAACAAAAAATCTACATTCATTGTATTTTAAAGAAAAAAAGAGACTGACTATTTGCTAATAAAGCTCGACTATCAACTAATCCAATATTCTTCCGAAGAAGATCTATTGATGAAGATTATATCAAAATTTTATACCTAATACACGTAATGTCACATTTCGTTTTAATGCTATTGCTAATTCAGAACCGCCGACATGATTGGTATCATTATTACGTAAATTGAGTCCAATTAAACTTTTATTAACACTAAAAGCATCACAAAAACTACTAAAAGCTGGAGAATCCATAGCACCTATTTGATTCCATTCAAGTCGTAAACTAAACAACATGTGCAAATCATAAATTAGAAGAACATAGGAACGAGTATTTTGTCAATGCTTGTTTCTACAAATCCGCAAATTATTTAAGAGTGTTAAGAAATGAGTAATAGACTTTAGTCGTCATGAAGCTCAGAAATACAACCGTGCATTTCCATTATCGTAAGCGAAGATTGCACAAGATCCGTCATAGATGATTGGAATTTATTTTATAATATTGAACGAATTAATCTGAAAAATCTTAATTCTTTTTTTATTCAATCATAAATATGTATTTTAAATTCTTATTATAAAGAAGCAACAAACCGAAATTCATCATTTTTAATTGTACCATTCTGCCAAAAAATCTTATTAATCGCTCAAATGAACATAAAATCAGCAGAAAATAATTATCATAAATGACATCTTTTTTTTCATGACCAGATTCGATGTCAAGCATTTATATTCATTATAATTCAACTTACTTTGGTAATGATTTATTTCTTCGTAGTACTTTTGCTAATGTTGCAGTGCCAGCTCCATGAATACTATTTCCCTAGATGAATAAAACAAGTGTTTAAACAAAACAAATAATCTTTGATCATTTACCTGCAATTCTAATCTTCTACATGTTGTATTCGTCACAAGTCCATGAAGAAAAGGAAAAAAGAAAAACATCGAATAAATATAAAAGACTAATCCTATTTTTGGTCGAATTAGAGTCTTGCAAAGAGTCAGGCATGAAACAAAGTCAGAGTCAAATTCAACTCCAATTTTCTTTCGTCTTCATATGCCTTGATAAGACGCCATAGTGACCTCCAAAATGTATCAATATATACAGTAAATATCAGAGAACAAAACCTACTTTTCAAGGATATGGATGTGCTTGAAGAAAAGACCCACAGTACAACTGCAGGAGAACGGCACTCTATAAACTAAATGATCTAATTGATAGGGCACATCAAAGAGTGTGGGTGCCTCGGTGTCGTTCTTGTGCAGTTGTACCTATATGAAAAACAAAATTGTCTATAAAACATCATTTTGAAAATTTCCTTCTTCTTAACAAAAATAATAATGACATCATTCAACGATTTACCTATTGAAATAATTCGACTTATATTCGAATATTTTACATCATTAGAAATAGTAAAAACAGATTTTTTTCTATTAGTCAATTTTTATTTTTGTATTTATTCCTTCTTTTAGGTTCATTCATTTGAATCAATTGATTGATTTTAAAATGCAAGCTATTGCTACAAAACATATTATTGATAATTCAAATAGTTTGATATTAAAATTTCTTCGAACTAAATAAACTTATTCGTGTTGTTATATTGATAATTATGAAATTAAAAAAAACAGCGAAAACCATTGTTTGTTTGTATTCTAGATTATGTTTTTAAATATTAATTATTTCCTTATCAAATAAAGACTGCCGCTCGTGAAAACATTTCAACAAATGTTCAATCACTTGCTGTAATATCAATTGAAGATGATGATAATAATAATGATATAACAACAAATAATTCTAAAGCAGAAATAAAAAAAACCTATTAAATCTGTTCGTTTTGTTTCAATTATTGATGAAAATTCTTTAACACCAACTCTGCCACGTCCATCATCCCTACAACCAACATTAATTTCTTCATCATCAATTATGCAAATAGATAATAAAGCAAATCAAGATACATTATGGGATTTTATGAANTTATACTGCAAGATTTTTCAAAACTGATTTCATAGATAGATAGAGGAGACATTTTTCTACATAGTTTGTGAAGAAAATTGTTTAAAATATTGAAAAATAAAAAAGATATAAGCATTATACAAAACACCCTAGATTTTTCTTCTACATTTACCCCATCTCACTCTATTTCATGATTTTACCTATGACGATATATAATGAGAAAACATATATACAAATCCCCAAAAGATCTAATATTAATTTTAAATATTTCCACTAGGTATTGACTTTTTTTTTTTTCTGTAAATGATGACTATTTGTTACACAGAGTATTTCAAAAGTTTTGCAAATTTATTAAACATAAAAATTCTTTTTTCTCAATATACATATTACATTTTTATTTGTTGGTCTTGGTTTACATATCTATAAAGCAATGAAATCTATCTATGTAAAGAAAAAAGAAATAATCAAACTGTTATCTTATTTTGTTCCAAACATACGTAGTCTAATCATCATTGAATATTGACTAGAGAAATGATGATTGGTTTTGTTTTTATATTTAGATAAATATATACTCAATAGATAATAAAATCATTCTATTCTATAGTTTCATTCACAATAGCGTGCATTGTATTATTATCAGATACTTTTTCGATAGTAAATCTATCTGAAGATATAGTATTTCGTTCAGGAGAACTAGTTGGTGTTGATGGTAATGATTGTTTTCTATCAATAAGAGGTTCCATTTCAACAGTGATATTAGGTAATGGTTGATCTGTTTGAGATATCGCTCGAATAAATGTTGGTCGAGTATTAGTTGTTGTGCCAGTAGCTGGACGACGTAATGCAGGAAAACGTTTTGAAAAAAATTTTGTCGAATCAAAAGCAGATATTAATGAACGATTTTCATTTGTAGAAGTAATATTTGATTGTACTGGAAAATTGGAATCATTAGTTGAATTCATTCGATGTATATCAGCTAATTTTCTTTTAATTCGATCAATCGTAGCACTATCAGATGTAATTGTTTGATAGTATTGTGGATCTGGCTCATTTTGTTTTTCTGATGATGCATAATATATTTTCCATAAACGTTGCCGTCGTTCAGGATCTTTTAATTCATTTAATATTTGTTTTGTTGCATTATCAGCTTCAATATTTTGATATTTTGTAAATGGATTTGATGTTCTCTTTTGAAGACGATCTTGTCTTGATGAATATGATGATGAATCAAATAAATATTGTTGTTGTAATGTACGTGGACGTACTTGAAGAAAAAGCATCATAGCTAAACCAGTTGAATACCAAACAAGAATAATAGCTATATAAAGTGCAGCACCTTGATGATCATATGAATCAGTAGTTGTAGTTGGTATTGTTATAGTTGATATGAGTAGATTTTCTTGAGTTATTGTAGAATTGAACGATGAAGACAGTGAAACAGTCGACATTTTTTTTGTTATTGTCTAAAAATGAAGAAAAAACTATAGTTGAATATTTTTTTTTTGAATAAAAAGTGATTGTAAAGATCTATACTGAGGATAATAAAATTTTTCAGATTATATACTATTAAGATGTTTTTTATCGTTTATCCTAAAACAATAAATAGGTTCTTCACGTGTAGGTTAAAAAGTTTTATATAATAAAATCTGCTTGCTTTATAACAATCGAAGATAAAAAAAACATCATTTTATCGGTCATGTAATTATTAAAACAGAAAAAAGCGACAACAATCATATTGACTGAAGCTTACAGATGAATATTTCGAATATTCAAAGTAATAGTCTATTCTCAGATGTTTTTAGTTAGATAAAGCTCGTTAGCTTGATAGAAGTACGTGATATTGTGGTTGCACATAAAAAAAACTTTGCCACTTTTGACAAAATATTTATCTCAAATGCTTGATATTATATCCATATGATGATCTTTGCATTAAAATAGAATAAATGTCAATATATTGTTATTCATCTATCAATCTATACATGTTGTGTGAGGTGATGCGAATGAAAGATACAATATCCAGGACAAATTTTACTTGTTTGAAAAAAATAAAAAGAATTTGTTGCGAACAAATGTTCACTAATTTCAATAAATATATTATTTACCAGTGAAGTTTTTCATTGTTAAATGCGTTATCTTAAGCTTTAGACATATATCAAAGAAAGTTTCCATTAACGGCAAAGTTGGGAGATTTGATCTTCATTCGATCATTTTCCACAAAACTATTTTCTGAAACAACAACATCTCAGACTAAATCATTAATCTTTGAAAATATAAATGACATATAATAGCGAAAACATTAATGTTTTGCAAGGAATCAGATTAATATTGTAAACAAAGAATATGAATAAAATGAATCAATATTTTCTATTGATTACTTCTACGATATCAATAGATACTCTATATAAATTTCAACTACAGGTTTATTTATTCTCTTAAAGATTTTTATAATACCATGAATTGATCTTATTCATAGAGAATTTGTTTTATTACTTTAGAAAAAAAAAGCGAACTCGATTTTTTTTTTTCTCTTTTCTTCAATTTCAAAAAGAAAGTTCAACAATAATAAAAATAAACTACACATAATCTACTTCTGTAATAATCAAACATAAGATTTCACTGTTGAAATTATTGAATATTTTACTATGGATTTCAAATATTCTCATTGTTGACTATTATTCAATTGTTATGTTCTATATCTTTATTATTTTTTTCTGTATATACTTGTACTACTTACCTGATAAAGAGAAAGAAAACGAATCTTTGTCTTCTCTTTCTTTTTTCTCTCGTTATTGGCTTTTGCTTTTGTTCTCACCTTACGATACATTAAGAGCTACCATATAGACAATTGATTTGTTGTTATTTTTTTTTACATCTAGCAAAAGAAAAGAAATAAGTGACTTTTGCATTAAGACAACTGATGCGTTTCTTACATTTTTTTATCTGCACGTGTAAGCATCCATTCTATGTTATCTCGATGATTTTTTTTTGTTGGTCTTAATTATACACCGAAACAGACGAAAATAACAAAAGCAAGAAATAAATATTCGTTGTCCCGGTTCGTTCTTTTTCTTCATCCATTCACTATTGATTACGGATGTGTATGTGTGTATTTTAAAAGACAAAAAAGAGAAAAGTCATTATTAACTTTCATGTAGAAATATTTTAGTTATTCATTGCAGCTTGTATTCAATGACAAGAATTCATAAATAGGAATGTGATTACCTTAAATGTTATATATCTATATATTATAAATCTATACCAGCTTCGAAGACAGAACTCAACAAGAATATTCTTTTATGCTTTCTCTTACTTATGTCCATAAGCGCATTTTTGTTCTATGTGGATAGACATGTAAAACAAAAGATAGACAAAAAGAAATTCAAGATGATTATTGTGAGAAAAGTAATTTTATCTTTTTTTTTTAGTGTTATTTTTTCTAATAGTATTTATTTATCAAATACCATTTCACGGTAGATTACCATTGTTCTTTAATAAATTGCAAATAATCAACGATCTGTTTAGAACAAATATAAGACAATCGAAAAAAGTAAACAGCAAGAAAATCATAGTGATGAATGCATGAAAGGAATTCTATATCTAAAATCTGTACAAATTTCAGATTTAAAATAGATCAACACATTAGTAATCATTTACAATAGGACTGAAAGTTTCAAAGATCTAGCTATTCCAAAACCTACAAAATATATTTTCAATTCACGCATTATCTATTTAGGATTTCCATGTACTGTGAATCTATAATAAGATAGATTCAATAGCTCATGTCAAAACTGCGTGAGTACAGATTTTCTCAATTACCACAAATATCGTACTTAAGTACGAACATTTACCGCTCGGATCAGGAGCACGCGTATGAATGTCGACAGTTCACATCAGGAGTACGTGCACGTACTCACACTTGCCTAGTTCTGACTCATATTTTATTTTATGACGTAATATGTACAACGACTAAATTTGATGAAAAAAATTGTTTGTTATTACAAATCCTTTCTATTTCTTCTTAGCATATTTGTCAAGAATTCAGATTTTATCTAATATTTCGCCCTGAATTTTGCTGAGCGTAATTAGACCGAATACTATTTTATACATATTCTTATTTTATATGCCATAATCAATGATAGAAGCAGCCATTTAAACAATAATAATTTCTTAATTAGAATAGACTTAATTATTCGTCCATCTGACTTTATGTCAGACATGATTGTTATTATTTTATAAATTTCACTACATGCAAACAAACAAATTATTTACCGAAGCCGAAACAATAACAAAAAAAAACAGACATGCATGAGACTTCCGTTTATCAAAAAAAAACAACGGAAAAATCATTATCTGACAATATGGCGTCTCAGGACACAATGCTTATTACAATAAATTAAGAGAAGTGATAAACAAAGTCACAGACGAAGAGAAAAAAAGAAACATAACATTATCGCATTTGATACAGTCCATTTAATTTCGAATCTGGATTTCTGGTACATTTTGTTTTAGCAAATACATTCCAAAATCGAAGTGTTTCATCACCAGAACCCGTTACAATGGATTCTCCATCGGGACTCATTGATAAATATAAAACACGTTGTCGATGACCGACTAATTTTGCTAATGGTTCCATTGTTGGATATTTCCAAATAACAATATGATTTTGTGCAACACCATGTGTTGATGCAAGTTCATTTATAGAATTCTTTGACCATATTAATTGACATACTTGAGAACCTGTATCATATATACTTGATGTTTGACATGTTAATGATGAACGAAAACGTATATGTCGATCAGCTGCACCACCACCAGATGCTAATAGACCATGCTGATGTGGTGACCATGCTATGGCTTTAACAGCAGCTATATGGTCATTAAATGAATGTAATGGTTGAGATGATTGACTTTTTGACCAAAGAAATAAATGATTATCATTTCCACCACTAGCAAGTATAGATTTATCAGGTGACCATTTAAGACCACAAACTTCTTGTGTATGACCATAAAAATGATGAATAGTTGACTGTTGACGTATGTCATGTTCTAATATTGATCGATCACGTGAACCCGAACATAATGACCAATCATTCCAAGCAAGTACACCAACACGATTTGTATGTTTACATATTGATTGTACACGTTTTCGAGTTGTTACATCATACATATGTACATGACCACGTTGAGTACCTACGTTAGAATGAAGTTTATTTTTTTAGAATATTTAATGAGAAGGTAGGAAATAATGTTTTTGATCAAGAGTGAAAAGAGAAGGCATTATAAGTACAGTATTTTACGAGTAAGTCGCTCGAGATGATACCTAGTCATTAGGTAGGACCTGTTAAGATTAGAATTATTCTCTGTGTGCTGCTATTTTAGAGTTATAGCTGTTACATTGGATTGTTTTTACCTTTGGCACGGTATTTTTGTTTTGGCTGAGATTTTTAGTAAATTCTAATGACTTTAACAGCTCTCGATGGACAAAATTCACTTGTCTGAATTTGTTTATAAGTGCCGTGTCAAAGGTTAAAAAAAAACTAGTGTAACGATCATAACTCCAAAAATGGCAGCAGATGGGAAAGACTTGTTTTAGTTTTGTTCAATCAAGCAATGTACTCAGTAACCAGATTGAAATGGCTAAAATATATGAAAATATCGCGTATAGAACAAAAAATAAAGAATAAAAATTCTTATATTCATATTTTTATTATTACAAGAGATGACATTATCTAATTTGTCATGTAAAAGATTGACCAGAATACTCAAAACACGCATATACAAACATTTAGTTAAGGGTTATTCTCTGTCGACATTAATTTTTGCGTACCTCAAGATTTATGAAATATCTTGTAATAATCATTTCCTTCAGGCTTACCTGAAGTGGTCGATGGTCAAATTATGCAAACATAAGCTTCCAACGTGACTACCCATTAACATTCATTTGTACTTTACTATTTTTAGTCTGTTTGCTCCAGTACTCACATGGAGATCGGACGATATGAAAAGCTGTGCAACTTTTTTATTTCATGATAATAGTGAGTGAGCGAAAATATTATTTCAACTTTTCACTGGATGAGATTTACATTCCATACTTTAGCTTTATTCTTAATTGTCTTCTGTTTGCCCAATAGTAACAGCTAGTCTACGAATATTGATTGATGATAAAAATAATTGTTTGAGCATTATGTAAATAAACACATGGTCCTAAAGCCACACTAAGAATATTTGATGATGACCAATCAATTAAATTTAAATAAAAATCATCTTGTAAATCTGGTGCATCTAAAACTTTATATGGAAGTTCAGGTATATGACGAAGTTTTCGTTTTGGTGAATAAAGTAAATGTATTGATGCATTTGATATAGGTGATCGATTAAAATGTTGTTTTGTAATTAAATTTGATTTCGATTGAATATTATCTTGACGTTCCGAATAACGAAATATTGATGGATTTTCTTTACTAATTAAAGATTTTTTTGGTGTTACTACTGTTTTTAAATTATCATGATTTGTATTTTGTACATCAGAAATTTTTAATATTGAATCAATATTTGTATTTAATAATGTATTTTGTAATAATTGTTCATAAACAAGTAAATCTGGTTCACTTGCTGTTATACCTGAACTAAGACCTATTTCATTAAATTCATATTTACATTTTTTTATTGGTGATGAAGATGATGACGTATTATTTAATGGATAATGAAGAATTGATGCTTATAAAGAAGATCTTAATGGAATGTATCGATCACTTGTTTTTATCGGTGATTGTATTGGACTTGTATATGATGATAGAGAATTTCGACCATTCATCGATAGAAGAAGACGACGCTCAAATTGAGCATCCATTTGATAAAAGAAAACAAATGAAATAAATACAACAAACAAAAATGACTAGATTACAGATCTAAAATGAAAAGAATAATAAAATTGATTTAAGAAATCACAGACTGTTGTATTTCTTAAGCAAATGTTCTATCTTTTGATATGATGTTATCATTTGACATACGACATCATTACTTTTTCACGATGATTCTTTGTCCTTCTTTTACCCAATATTAATCTCAACTGGTGTAAGTGTATATTCTACACTGATACACACATCCTCTTTCCTCACATGAGAATATGAAAATGAAAGCATTGTGGAAAAGTGGTTATGTCATATACGAATAGATCACATCAAGACATTTTGTTCTGTATTATAAACAGAGAGTCAAATGAATCAACAAAATAATTAGTAAGATAGATTCTTGATGGCATTAATACTATTTAATACAACTAAGAATAATTCAACTCAAGAAACTTACAATAGTTAGATAACACATTATTAAACTTTCGCTTTTTTAATTGGAGAAAACAAAAACATACGCAATCAATATAGATCTATGTTCATTAATGTGAACCGATATAGAACGGTGTTGTATGGGAATGCTTGTCCATTAGGTAGTCATTGTCCACAATACAAAGAACATTGATGAAGAAAGACCAAAAGATTAACCAATATAAAATAATTCAATGTAATCTTGTTTTAAACATCGATAAAAAAGAATTTAACTCAAAATGAAAACCAATTACTTCAATCGAACTTTATTCGAAACAAAAACAAGAAGTTTCAATACATAGTATATTCAAGAGTTTTGATAGGTGTCGCTATATGTCTAAAATCATTCGATTTGTTGTTCGTACTTCTCAAAGGTGATCATACTGACTGTCGGAAACGATGTTTAAAACGGCGTCTATATTCCATTATGTTGCCGTAATCTATCAGCGCGTTTTTTTTTCGCTAGCAAACGGTCATCATTTTTGGTGTCTTTTTCTCGAACTTGATTTTTACATCAGCCAAATAAAACTTAAATCTTCAGAGAAAATTCAAGTTAGTATTCTATGTATCGTGAAATAATAAATAGCTTAGTTCAACTATAAGTCAAACGAATATATAATTCGGCGAAAATAATGCTTGGAATCACGGTTTTTTGTGAAAAGAAAATGAATTTTGGGATTTCGAGAAAAATAAAAGTGAAAATTGAAGGATTTTCTATTTCGTCGACCTAGATTGGTAAAAACAATTGAGTACGTCAAAAATAATTATCTTTGTACATTCAGATATCTGTGTTTTTGTTTTGTTTTGAGAGTATTGTAGAAAGGCAAGAATTACTATTTGATAATTACTTCTGTCATGATACTAGTGACTTAACTGACATATTGATATGAAAGATCATTGGATTTCTCTTTAATATGTTATATCAGATATGAATTATTTTGTATGAAAGAAAACCTTGGCGTAAATCAATATAAATAATTTTGTTTATAAGTGCTAAACATATCTTGTGTAATAGAATATTATTGCGTTTCTGTTATTGTAAATTGTCATGTCTCTTGTCTTTTGTTTTCAATTATTGATATGTAATTATGATTGGTTCTTTATAATCCTATGCTTGAGTTAAAAACACGATGACCTTGCTTCATTTGCAGTAATCTAGCTTTGAGAAAGTATAGACACAATATTAGAAACGAATACATATTCAAACCAAAAAATTGAAGACTTTACTTCTTATTCTAAGAAAAATATGGCAGTTCACGCTTTGCTTCAAACATAATTTCTTCGATTTTTTTTCAATAGAGACAGTATTCAATGAGAATATTTTTCTTTGCTATAAGTACATTTTACGACGAATTTCTAGACATTGCCATAAATATGAGATGATTAACACAAATGGTAAGTAATGGAAGCTTTTTTCTTTTTAATGAACAATCAATAAATTTCTATTGGTTATTTTAACACAATTTAATTGATTATATAGTCATATTTTTGCAAATGAAAAATATCGTTTTGTGGTTTTTTTAGAAGTTTTTGAATTGATAATTAAACGAAAAAGTAAGACTTAGGGATACTAGAAAAATCTAGAAATCTCTGCATAAACGGTTTTTAGATAAATGATAATAACTTAAATAAATATTTAGTCATTGATAAAATATTTCAATCATTCGTAACGAATGGAGAGAAAATGGAATATTCCATACGTCAAAGATATATCAAAGCGATTCTCTTGAATCTTGTAGCTATTTCTAGTATACTATCAATATTTAGTCAAAAATATTATAGTTTGAATCGATTTTTACATAATTTTGTCTAAAAATGAAATCTTAATAATCTCACTGTACTCATAAGACATGTTAATAGTAGACTTAAAAAGTCTAAGAAGTTCTCGAGAATAGCTTTGACATGCCCTTTAAGTAGAGAATTGTCTCATTTCTTTTCCTCGTTCGTAATGAATTTCATTATAAACTTAAAATTTAATAAAATTATCATTCTGTAAGCAAGAATAGGTCATCATGAATAAAATTTAATAGAAACCTTTTATCATACATGAGGTTATTTATTATTCTTAAATTATACCAAAAAAGTACGAAGAAAGAATAAAAAAGAAACTTGATAGAAGTTTGTGATCGGCGAATACTATAGCCCTTCGTCTCAAGTTCAGATTAAAATTTCGATTTTTCTCCGATTTTAATGTTTTCTGCTCTTTTATGTTATAAAAGAAATTAAACCTATTTTAAACGGCAACAGCTATTAACAAGTAGAATTGATGAATCATTTTATCCATCTGTGACATTTATCTTATCTTGAATTCTTTTTTAGATGACTGTGACGTGTTTCTTATATCTTTCTTGTTTGAATATTTATTTATAGATTGTAACTCTTGTATATCAATAGAAATTTAATTAATTATTCTTATTCGAATAGTTAGAAAAGGAAACGTCATCGATTTACAAACTGAATGTTCACTAGTAAAACTCGTTGGGTTCAATCGAATCATAGTTTGATACTCAATGAGAATTTCTAACTAGAATCGGATAGTCGCCTCAAACATACGAAATACTTTATTTTTCTATTCAATTAGTGCACCCTATATATTCCTTAGGTGGCAGTCTATCGGGTCTAGAACGAATCCGATGAGCTTTATTCACTAACGATAATGCTTAGCACGACGACTGTAAGTTTAAATGACGAGAAAAAGAAACACATTTACTCATAAATGTTTGGACAGCTCATTAACAATGATTCTTTGTAAAAAAAAAAACCATATATCATAATAAGAATAACTGAGAAGTCGACAAAAACAAACAAAATGTTGATATCAATATAGCGTCAGACGATAGCAGTTTATTATGTTTCATTCAACACAAATATCAAGAGCAGTACTTCTATACTTGGTTATCAACGATATTACTTTTCTTTATATGCCACACTCTTTTGTACACAAACTATTCTTCAATCTAAATTTGAGATCAAACAACTATAATATCATATTTTGCCAAAGAATTTAAAGACATCGAAACAAATATTTCATTATAATAAATTATTCATAAATCTTGATATTATTTCTTTTTAGCCTCAGTTTCAATACCTTCTCAACATCATATTATTCTTGACTGTTGAGCTTGATTGGTATTTCGAATCATCACTGGCCAATTAAATATCAAATATAATCATATTTGGTTTTTTATATTTAATTAAAAAAAAAGGAACAGCAGCAACAAGCAAACACACAAACGCACACGCACGCACACAGTAGTAGCAAACAAAAAAAAAAGAGAAAACGAAAGTTGGGGAAATACATCCGTGATGAACATGAGGGGTAAAAACAATTGAATATGAAGAAAATGAAAATTCATCTTAGTTTTCATATGCATGAGTTAATGATTTATAATACGTGGCAAAACAAAAGAAACCGTATTAAAAAACAAAACAAAACAAAAAAAAAAGAAAAGAACAAACGAAAATTTGTTACATAAGTAGCAACAATGAATGCATGTATATTTTTTTTTGTCGCAACAATAAAAGAGAAAAACAAAAGAAAACAACAAAGACTAAAGAAGTCGCATTTGCATAAGTGCAATACAACAACAATAATAATAATAACAGCAACAACAGCAAAAGAAAAAATCAGTGAAATGCTTGTGAAAAACACACTCTTAGATTGATATATTAACAAACAAGTAAAACAAAAGGAAGGCAGTGTGTTTGTTTTTTTCTTGCTCCGTATACGAATCGATTCATTCACCAGGCTCTCAAACATCACACACATTAGAAAACAAAACAAAACAAATAACACAACTCAAGCAAAACTGTTCTAGATTATGTGCGACACGCTTTTTATTTTTATTTTTTGTTTGAATAATACCAGAGAAAAATCCAATGTTCGATTGATTAGTGCAACAAATAGAATTCATTATGTTAAATTTTATTGTTTTGGAAGAGTTGGGAAATCAAGCGCATTCGCAAGATCAGGTGTATTTGAATCTGTATTTGATCGATTGTAACCACCGCCACCACCACGTGCAGAATTTCTATATATTCGACGAAATTCTCCACGACCAGATCCTTGTCCTATTTACATATATATATATGCTTAGTATATACGAAATAGTGCTCTATTACATCAATTTTCAACTAATATCATAATAATAAAATTTTAATAGGACCTATTTCGTTATGATATGTGATGGTTATATCAGTGCGTATTGTTTTATGCCTAACCGTCTCTACACATACAGAATGATCTGAAAAATAATAGGATAGTTTTTACCGTTGAAAGAAGAATACTTGGGAATATTGAATAATACAAGAAACGTAATATTCATAATTTTTTATATAGTTCGATATACCCAAGTCTTCTTTTCAACAGCGAAAATTCCCTGGTGACTTTTGGGTTACCCTTTATATATATATATAAAGACGGGTGTCTTGTTTGAATCTATAGTTTATGAGTGTGTTCTCAAGAAAGTTAACGAAGTAAAGTTAGCTTAACCGTTGGCACTGTTCCTCTTTGTTTTAGATGAATAAGGAAAACTTTTGCTTCTACATTAAAGTGTACATTGCATTTTTAAGTCACGAGTTATTTTTGATAAATTATTATGTTCTGTTGGCGAAGGTCGACAAGAGGTTGAAGGTGAAGTATGAGCTATTTGTATTTTATATTTCGTTTTTGTTCCGTCGCAATTACCTTTTATATAGACTAATGTATAAATATAGACAGCTATGCATTAGAGGAGACGAAGAAGAACAAGAACAAAGAGAATACATATCGTAGATAATACGAACTAATTTAACCATGACACATCGTAGCCAGATAGCTCTTATTGGCATAATTACTATGACATTAGTTGAAGAATGATATACTAATGCAGAAAAAACAGGGCGTTGTTGTTACTATCATTCTACATACACAGAAAGCTTGATATAAGGAATTAAAGTACTCCTGCTATTCCTACTACCATGCCATAAGTAATAATTAGAAAACTACTAACTTGAACCGCCATGATATGCTCTTGGTTGTTCGTCGTTTTGATATTCACCGGCCTGTTGAGATGATGGTAGTTGTTGTTGACTTGGTGACTTAGCTGGAAAGAAAAAGAAAAATTTTATAATAATTTTATTTATTGAAATAATATATATTACATCTTCGTTGTTGATCATCTCGATATGGTCGATCTTGATAACGACCAGCACCACGACGTTGTCCACCTCTTGAACCACGTGGAATTTCAATTGGTTTAAAACGAAGTGGAATTGTAATAATTTTTTTCTTCCCACTTAAATGTTCTTCTTCAACTTCTTCTTCACTTTCATTTTCTAAATAGTTTATTTTATTCTATTTTTTTTTCTTGTGACTTTTTATCATTTAAAATTTTACCTTCACCACCACTTCCTTCTTCAAGTTGTTCACCATCAGATTCTTCATCATCATTCTTTTTTCGATATTTTTGTTCATATTTTTGCCATTCTTTTGGATCTACACCTTCATTTGGTGCACGTCTATTAAATTGTGGAAATTTTTCGTGTTGAGCTTGTTTTTTAGCTTCTAATTGTTTTTTATATTCATCCAGTGTCATTTGTTTTTCAGCCTCGTCAACTTGTTGTGCCCAACCTTTTGATGCTGCTGCTGCTGCTGCTTGATCTGTTGTATCAGGTGTATCACTAGAAAAAAAAATTGTTTTTTTTACTTCATATTTATTTACAAACTAACAAAAATAAATCTTACTTCGGTATTTGATCATCTGGAGGAATTTCAGTTTGATTACCCCAATTATATGCACCTTCGCCATCTTTTTTCTCAGTAGGTTTAACACCTCTATTAAAACAAAAAAAGAAGCACATTTCATAAAAAAAAGACGAAGATATGATTTTTCCTTTTTAACTTACGAAACAAATGAACGCGGTTGACGATCATGTTGACGACGATTCTGTCGATAAGTATCCTGACCACCTTCACCACCTTCACGTTCATAGTAATTTTGACGATCATCAGTATAATTACGATTATTACGAAATATTCGAGGACGATAAGGCCCACGACCACCACGTCGTACATTTTCTGGTTCCGTTCGTGGTTCTTGTCCTGATGCATCTGTTTCTAATTCTTGACCAACCGTTCTAGCTGAGTGAGGATGCGTGTTGTCAAAATGTGGCCTATAGAAAATGGAAACATTTTTCAAATATAAAAAGACTCATCTTCTGGATTAAGATTTAAAATTTTCTTCGGTAAAATTTTAATTTCTACATACTCGATAGTTTGTTGCATTCCACTAGTTTCTTGTGTTTGTGGTTGTTCCTGTGAACCATCTTCAACATTTCGGTTACTAAAATTACCACGTCCACCACGACCACGAAATCGGCCACCAAAACCTCGACCTCTTTCAAAATTTCCACGTCTTGGTCCACCTCGACCGCGACCACGATAACCACCAAAACTTTGATTATCATGTTCTGTTGCATTATCCCATGTTGCAGCACTTTGCTCAAAACCACTCGTTTCATTTTTGTTTTCTTGTACTTCAAATTTATGAAAACGTTGTGAACGTTGTTGACCACTGCCACGATTGCTACCTTCATACATAGGTCGATCTTGACCAGCACTACCACCTCGTCTTGAATAACCACGGCCACCTAAATATTAAATAAATAAATAAATAAATAATAATCAAAGAACTTCTTTTACCTCGACCACTATCAACACGTGTTTGTTGATTGTTATTATCACTTAAAACATTTGATTGTTGAGGTCGTCGTTGATCAGTATTTGTTGGTTTACCAGTTAAATTTTCTTTATTTGTTTTCGTTGCATTACTACTAGCAGATTTTGCAGTTGTAGTAGCACTAGGTGTTGGTGTTGTTGGTTTTTTTGTTACTGGTTTAGTTTCTTTTGAAGATTTTTTTTTTTTTTCTTCTGATTGTATTTTACTGGCAATAAATTCATCAGGATCTTCATCATGATCAACTAAATCAAGGAAACGATTTCCTGTATTAATACCGTATTCAAAATCGAGCACCATGTTCTTTTATTGAAAATATTTTGTCACAAATTCCAGAATTGCATCTAAAAAATTAAGAAAAAAACAAAGGTAACTGATCAGTATCCGGTAAAATAATCATAGAAAGCTTTTTTTCATTTTTAAAAGCGAATAGTATAAAGTTTTTCATCAGTTCAGTTCCTTTTGTTACTTACTGTGATTAATAATGGTTTGTTGGTGTAATTTAACAAGCGTGTAAATATACGATGTTACCAATTGGTAGGTTAACAAATAGAAAAAAATGATGAATCGGTGACCTGTATGGCAAATAAGTGTGTATCGAAAGAACGAACAAGAGAAAGAGAGACAAACGAGTGTGAATATCGGAAAGAATTTCGGTGCTTAGCAAAAGTCAAACTAACATCGTTAAAGAGGTTATTCAGAGTAGAAACACTGACTAAGAAAAAATGTAAATTTAATAATTTACTATTTCATATTGAAATTATTTTTAAAGTATAAAGAAAAATTTATATATAAAAAATTTTGTTATTTTATAAATGCATTGATTTAATTGTTTTATGCATTTAATATAAATTCTGTAATGATCATGGTTGATTGTCTATCCATTATTTACCATCATTTCCAAAAGTAAATTATTATCTTGTTTCAATGATTAAGAAAAATATGTTTTGATGACATTTATTATATATGAGTTGATTATTGGTGGTTTATGAAAATAATGTTTAAAAGCTGATAGGTCTTTATTTTTTTTTTCTTGTTCGTTCAATCAATATGTAAGTTTGTTTATTTGCTCTATGATCAATCGATCAAAATTCATTATGCTTCTTTTTTTCAAGCAATGTCATTCAATGCTAAAACATCTGCTACGGCAGCTCCGCGTGCATCACAATATGTTGGACCGTATATTCTACAGAAGACATTAGGCAAAGGTCAAACAGGTATATGGACTTTAGATTTCGTGATTTTTGTTGTTGTTGCATTGATTATTGAACTAATATAATTATTTTTCTATATATAGGACTTGTCAAATTAGGTGTTCACTATGTAACAGGAGAAAAAGTTGCTATAAAAATAGTCAATCGTGAAGCATTGTCAGAATCAGTTTTATTAAAAGTAAAGATACAAATGAATTTTAATTTAAAAAAAATTACAAAAATTTTAATTGCTTTCAAAAGGTCGAACGAGAAATAGCCATTATGAAATTAATTGAACATCCTCATGTATTACGTTTATATGATGTTTATGAAAGTCGAAAATATTTATATCTTATTCTTGAACATGTTGCTGGTGGTGAACTTTTTGATTATCTTGTTCGAAAAAGTCGTTTAACACCAAAAGAAGCAAGAAAATTTTTTCGACAAATTATATCTGCACTTGATTTTTGTCATTGTCATATGGTTTGGTATGTAAAATAAAGATGTTCTTTTTTTTTCTTTGTGTAAATTTTATTTTCATTTATTTTTTTGTTTTTTGTTCTAGTCATCGTGATCTAAAGTGAGATGACAAATAAATCCGATTAGAAAAAAAAAAGAAATTATTTTATTGCTTTTGTTTAGACCTGAAAATTTATTACTTGATGATAAAATGAATATTCGTGTTGCAGATTTTGGTATGGCATCCTTACAAGTTGAAGGTGGTTTTCTTGAAACAAGTTGTGGTTCACCACATTATGGTAAGAATAACAAAGCTTAACTAAAAAAAATTGAACAAAATGATTTTGTTTTTCTTAAGCTTGTCCTGAAGTGATTAAAGTAAAAAGAAAATGATGATTTATATAATTCATATGATAATATTTATCAAATCTAGGGTGAAAAATATGATGGTCGAAAAGCTGATGTTTGGTCATGTGGTGTTATACTTTATGCATTACTTGTGGTATGTATGAGTTTAAAATGAAAATCTATTGTTGTTTCCTTCTCTAATTGTGTCACATAATGATTTGTGTATTTGTCAACGGATTGATTCATTGTATATTATTTATATTAGGGTGCATTACCATTTGATGATGATAATCTTCGACAATTACTTGAAAAAGTCAAAAAAGGTATTTTTCATATTCCACATTTTGTACCTGCGGATTGTCAACAATTATTACGTGGAATGGTTGAAGTTGATCCAAGTAAACGATTAACGGTAAATTTTAGTCATTTTAAATTTTATTCTGTTATGTTGCACTCATGCTTTTTACTGACTACATAATATATATTTTGTTTTTATTATTTTGTTCCAAAATAATAAATTTTTGTTTTTGCACTACTATGCTTATTCCAGTTAGAAGATGTCAGTCGACATCCATGGGTAACACAGTATGTAAACGGCGAATATACGCCAATTATTATCGTATATCTATGTTGTCAGTTCATTCGAGTGGTGTATTAAATTGAAAGAATGTTAATAGAAATCATCATCATCATTCATCTTCATCATCTATGTTCGTTTTTTTTCTGTTGTTTTTGCTTGCATATTAGAAATAGAAAAAAAATGCATTTTTCATTGTTCTGCTTTATATAATAGTTTTGATGAAACTAATAGTGATTGTTCTATTGTTTCTTTCTATTCGTATTGAATATAATGTTTGATTGAATATAAATTTATGTTGTTGTCTTTTTGTTTTTATTCAGAGGTTCAAAAACTGACCTTGAACTTGAATCACCAATGGTACAAGTTATTCAAGTATGTACAGAAAAAAGAAAGAAAAGAAATTCTTAATTAAGTCTTTTTTTGTAGACAACAATCATTCCAAAAGAAGAAGATGTTGATGCAGATGTATTTGCAGCAATGGCATCACTGGGTTGTTTTAAAGATCGACCACGTTTAATTGAAGCATTATTAAATTCTAAGTATGAAAACAAAAATAATAATAAATATATTTAATAAATTTTTCTCTGGTAGACATAATACCGAGAAAGTTATTTATTTTCTTTTACTTGATCGTAAATTACGACAACCAAGTCATGAAGATCCCGAAGAAACCAAACAACGAAGTCGTTCCGGTTCACGTAAGGATCCAAAATAACAAAACAAAAAAAAAATGATGTATTTTTGTTGTTGTTGTTTTTTTTTTATAGCTGATTTTCCACAAAAACGTGTTGACCGTCAACGTTCCAATGGTGTAACTATTGGACAAAGTCCTAATTCAGGTACACATCGACCCGGTATGGTTGGACAATTGACTGAAGGTTCACCATTAGTATCACGACGACAACTCTATTCGAATGTTAGGTAAAGAATCTTCTCCTTTTTGTTTTCTATATTAAGTTAAAGACTGAACAAAAAAAAAAAAAAACTTTTTCTCTTTTAGTAATAAAACAATATCAGCTAATAATACACCATCTGTTAGTCCATCTTCATCACCAACGATAACAAAAAAAGATGTTTTTTCTAAAATAACTGCATTTACAACTGGTAAAAATCTTATTGAAAATCCCATATCATCTGTTCAAACTCCACCATCAATACAACATCATATACATCGTCATCATCGTAATACATCAACAGTTTCACAAAATGATAATATTCTTACAACACCACCATCAACACAATCAATAGCATCGAATAGTATTAATGAGCAAACATATAAAGAATCCAATGTAATTAATAATGGTACGATAACACATCAAATAACACGACGAAATCAACAACAAATACCTCCAACATCAACATCAACATCAACAACATCTGAATCAATGAATATGGAATTATCATCATCATCGATTTCATCAACTACTAATACTACTACGAATAATAATAATAATAATAATAATATTAATAATAATAATAATCCTATAAATTCAATTACTCCATCATCATCAAATAGTAATCAATGGAGACATAAATTAAATAATTTAAAACAAAGTTTTCAAAATGTTGGTACACCAAGATTTCATCGACGACCAAAAGTTTTATGTAACTTAGTTCATTTTCTTTTTATTTTCCTTTAAAATTCTATTTTTATTTTTGAAGTGGCTGAAAGTGATAGTACAACAACATCAAATTCATCATCACAATATGGTACAACACCTGAAGCAACAAAAAAATCTTTATTTCATCATATTATTGATGCTATGCAAGAAGATCATCATATGATTGTTGTTAAAGATCGACCATTATCAACAATTAAAACTGATCTTATTCACGCATTTTTATCTGTACGTAAAATTTTAATATCGATTTTTCTATTACCGAAATTTTTTTTTATTTTTAAAAGACTCCTGATCTCGTGCATAATGTTTTATCGAGTACACAATATCGATGTGAATATCGTCGAGCTGATCGTTCGTCTATGTTTCAACGTAATATACGTTTTCATGTTGAAATTTGTACAGTTAAATCTAATGATTTATCATTACCTGATACTTATTATGTTACATTTACTCTTATAACTGGTAAGAAAACAAAAAAAAAAAAAGAAAACATAAACATTCGATTATTGTTTTTAATTTTAAAGGACAAGCTCGACGTTTTAAAAAATTATGTGAAGAAATTCAAACACTTTTTTTAACAAATAAAGATCGTATAAATAAACAACGACATCAAACAAATGAAAATTGTCTTGTTAATACAAATAATACTTCAACAACAAATCGTACAAATGCATCATTTATTTCATCATTATTTTCTAATACAAACTCTTCATGTAAGAAACAAAACAAAAACGAAGAGTTTTCTTTTTTTCTTTCTTATAAACATTTCCCATGATAATTATCTTTTTTTTTCCTTATCGGTGATTTTTATCTTTTTCTCTAGAGAACAAAACATTAATTCCTATTCAACATATGATGATCACTGGAGATTAACATATTCCGAAATAAATAATAGAAAATTTTTTATTTAGATGTTAAACAAAACGTTTCTCAACAACAACAACAACAACAACAACAACCACCTTCATCTGCATCATCTCTTTCAGCAACATCGAATACACCTTTCACTAATTCTTCACTGCCAATTACTGATGAGTCTTCAACTATTGAATCTATTCGTGTAAAGCTTGCTCATCGTCTTGCAATCTAGTCATAGTTCCTTTTTTTATGCTGCTTACTGTTGTGTGTAGTGTTCTTTTCTTTTTCTTTTTTTCATGCAAACTGTTCTCATTTCATGAACATCTACTATCAAATTCTTTGATACTGTGCAGATTGAAAATAACCTCATTTATTATTGATCATTCTATCCTAGTCAAAAACAACAAGGAGAAAATAATAACAGATTAGTTTATTTCGTGATTATTATAACAAAATTTTAAGCGACTTTATACACTGTTTGTCTTCCGTCTCTTTGTCGGAATTATTTTACGCAAATTCGTTCTTAGTCTTTATATATATATATGTCTATATAGATTGAAATAAAACATTTTGTTTCTTTTTCCTATTTCAAAAACGTCCATTTTTATTTTATTGTTTGTGCTTTGTTCATCCTTCTATTATTGTGTATTTATTTATATTATGTATTTGTATTTATGTGTGTGTATATGTCTATGTTGAATGACAACTGTGCACGAATTGTAATTTTTATCAACACACCTTCAACATGTTTTTTCTTTCACTTGTGTCTTATAAATAAAGAGAATATGACGAAAAATAAAGCATTTTAAAAGTAATCTTATTGAAATAAAAAATTTCATTAATATATATTATTTTATGGAATTCTACAATATAATGAATCTATTCATGTTCGAACATAATCTGACATTTTGATTAGTATTGTATTAGTGTTCTATACAATATCTAATGTTCGATATGATAATGTGTCTAGAGATACATGAGTTTTCAAAATAAGAATGCAGCATTTGCATCAAGAAAGGTTTAATACCTTGTTTATTTCTCGGAATGGTTATGCTATATATGAATACCTTACAGACTATATATATATATACGATGTCAACATTGTGAAGAGGTCAAATTCAGAAAAACCTAGCAACTCTGTTTATAACATAAAAGTGTGAAAGCACTTTAATTATAAAAACGTTTTCAAGCATTAAGTCTTTCTATAAGTGAATTGATTCTTATTCATGCAGAACTTTAATATTATCTTTAACAAAGATAAGATAAATAAATGCATCTTAAATCATTAATCGCTTCACTGATATGGACATTTATGTTCTAATTATCTTTTTCAGTGAATATTTTTATAATTTTTCATTGATGCTGATAAAATTCGAGAAAAATATAGTTGATGTTTCTTCTTTTTTTATACGATACAATTTCCAAGACAAATAGTAACACATGACGTAGAAACTTTATATGGAAATTTTTTTTTTATCATGATAACGTGACATTGTCATACATAGAAATCTTATATTAAATGAATGTTCATTGCGTGTGTCTACGTATGTGTTTTAACAGGAACTAATAAAAAATACATAATCATAAATGTCAGTTGTCATAAGTATTTATTTTAAGGTAAATTTAGAATTGTATGATAGATTTGACAATATAATTTGAAAAGAACAAGATTCGGAAATATTAGATTTATAATTAGTAAAAGAAAAATCAGTCACTTGAAGGTACAAATAATCGAGAAACGTAGTATGATAGACATAACATTGATTAATTTGTAGACTTGAGACAGATAGAAAAATACTATTTCATCTTTTTGAAGAAACAAAAAAACAATGGATAAATAGGATTTGACGAGAAGTTATTAGATGCAATTTTTTTTCTAATGACATATTATTGTGAAGAGATTATTTCTTTTATTTATTTATTCATAATAAAATTTTGCAAGACAATGAATAAATTTAGCAATGAATCAATTATAAAAATTACTAAATGCAAAACATTAATTTCAACTTGATTTGATAGTTTCAATTCATAAGAAAACGAATATAGTGTTGATTATTTGAGTTATATCAAACGTGTTGAAAGTATGAAGAAATTATTGAGTGTCTATTGAGACCATTTAATAATCATAGAAGACTTTTTTTATTGATCAAATAAATATCAAATGTTTGTTAATTTGTGTTTCGAATTTTTCTTTTTGTTGAAGAAACACTTTAAATAAATCAATATTACTGGATAATAAAAAAACTTTTTATATTTGTTTAACAGAGATATTCTGTAAGATTTAGTTTTGACCATCGTATCTACAAAGTTAAATTGACTGATAACTCTTTGGACATGTGAAAAATCATATAGATGAATATTCAAATGAAATTATTCTTTTTCAGATTATAAAATATTGATTTTGAGTATTAAGAGACGTATTATATTCATTCATGTGACAGTTTGTTGTCATATTAAATGATAATTCTGATAGATTGATAATCTTTCGCTGTGTTCGACTCAAATAATTATTATTATGCGTATTACACACTGTAATTTTGATATAGATAATTAAAGGATGATTTGATTACAAAGTAATTCAGAAAAAAAAAACATAATCATGACTGAATATATGCATTTATGAGATTACAAGAGCAAAATTTATTTTCTACACAAAACATATAAGATGATAAGATTATTTTATAGAGCTTCGTTGTTAATAAATGCTGAGTGCTTCTTTTCTCTAAATAGTAATTGACACTCTCGTGTATCATATTCTGTGATGTGAATACCAGATTAAGACTAATAATTCATCTACTCTTTATAAGCTGTGAATTAATACGTTCGATTCATCAGAGGTCGAAAACACAAATATTATCAATGACTTCTCATTCACAATAAAGGCAGTTTCGTCATATTTTAAACCAGTAAGAATTCCACCAGTATTTTTCTAATTATCTAGTTTCTCATTTATTCTTTTATAAAATTTAATTCATGCAAAATAAGTATATAGCAAATGTTCAATAGTGTATAATAAGCGTGAAAGGCAACATATATTATATTCAAGCTAATTAGCATATTGCAACACAAATATCAATGGTCAATTTTCTAGTAAAATCCAAGTTCAGCATTAGAAAATTTTATACTTGTCCGTGTCAACAATTTTGAAATATTGATTCATTGATTTGTTTGAACTTACAGCAATATGTAAAAACTCTTTTCTATGACAGTGCGAAAGCATATGTAGGTGCATGTGAGCGACGATAGCGCACGCGAAGCAGCAAAAAACATAATCAGAGAGAGAGAGAGAGAGAGATAGCGTTCGAGCGAGTGAAAGAGCAGTGCACAAAAAAGGTAGACAGAGAAGTTAGTATTTTTTTTTCTGTGCTATTCAAGCTGATGGTTGTGATTCGAAAGCAAAAAACATGCGACGAAAAAGGCATCAAAACGATCAAATGAAACAAAGAAGAAAGCAACATTAGCGAGCGTCGAAAAAATAAGGGACATGCGTTATACATTTCCTAGTCTAACCAAAGTAGACATTGGGAAAAAAACCAAACAAACAAAATTTAGAGCCATGCTTTTATATGGAAAACGAAAAGGGAATATATCGAATTTCACTTATTTATTTATTTTTTCCTACCCACGAGAAAAAAAACGAGAAGAGACACAATAAATTATTTGTTGTTTTTTGTTTCTTCGGACTGATGAACACAAAAGAAAAAAAAACGATGAAATTATCGCGCGCACGAAATAAAAAGAAACTGGAATAGCACCAGTAACAAAACAAATAAGAAATAAAAATACATGACCAACGAAATTATTTAGCACGCTCGCTTAATGTTTGTGTTTGTTTTTGTTTTTAGATCAGAGAAAAAAAGAAAAAAAAAAGAGAATATTGCAAAAATTGTAGAAAACAACAACAACAACAACAACGAAAATTTCAGAACACTGTTCGCATGACAGAGTATTTCCTTTTTTTTTTTTGATCTTCTAGATTTTGTTTCGGAGATAACGGACATCACTATTGCACCACGGAAATAATAGAGATTGCTGGGAGGAAAAGAAGTATTTAACAATAACACATAAATAAAAATGACACGAAAACTCGATAGTGACTTCTCGTCTTTACTCAATTCGATCGGTCATAGCTACTACTGTTCAGTCTACAAAGCGAGAGGGAGAGAAGACGGAATGTGTAGCTGAGAAAGACGATTGACTAGGACCAATCTTATGTGTACTGCATCAAGAAAAAAAAGCGAGAGTGAGTAGTAAGAAAAACTATAAAAAAAAGAAAACAATACACCGGAAATCTTCCTTTTCTCTTGTTCAATTATTGTTTCTCACTCTGTATGTATAAATATATATTTTTTGCTGCTTTCTGTACATGCGCATGCGAATCAGTCTTTAACTCTCATCTGTTACGAATATAAAGAAGTAATAAAAAGAAAAGAAGAAATAATTCTTGTTTTTTTCGAAGTAGAAGATGATGATGACAAATAGAAAAAAAAACGAAAAAAAAAGAACGGTTATAACTTCTGATTATAAGTTTCTTAGATATTTTTTGCTCATACACATATGAATATTTCAATGTGCATGTACTGTAGAACTTTTCATCACAAACTTGAAACAACGGACGAACGAACAAACAAACAAGAAAAAAAAATAGAAATCATAAACATCAAGAACAGCAAGTGAGAAAAAAGAAAAAAAGGATACATGTTTTATGTGTTGTATGTGTAAAGAAGAAAGACCAAAATGTGTTTATGTATATATGTAGAAAAAAAAAACCTACGTACTTGTCGTAAGAAGGTATAGATAAAGAGAAAGAAAGATGAAGAATGAAAAAAGATGGCTAATATGGGCTAGTTGTTGTTATATAGAGCTGGTAATGTTCGAACGCCAGCTTTTATTATAATTGAAATAAAGAATTTGCCGTTGGAGTTCTTCAATACATATATGATAAATTTACATTCATTTTTAGAACAATTGCCCAAAATAGCTTCTTTACAAATAGACACATAACCATTATTAACTTCCACAAAATCTTAATTAAGAAATAAATACATTATAAGTAGAAGAAAAAAAATATTCTTAATCATTTAATTTTACCTTCAGTTAGATGAATATATTTGCATTGTGGCCGAGTACAACGCCGTGATTTAAAGTCTCGGCAAATGGGAAGTGTATCCAGTAACTATAATATTAAAAGAAAACAAAACATTTAAATATGAATCAATCTTTTGGTTCTTTTTTGTTTAGATTCAAATGAAAAACAGTCGAAATAAAATGTTTGTGTGTGAGTATCATGCAGTATTCACTAGATAAGCACACACAAAACAACAAAATACTATGAGAATAGTTAAATAGTGCATGCAATCAATAAAAAACACAAAAGAAGAATACGGCAAGAGGAAAACATCTTCTTGATTTATCATAATCGTGAAAATAACTATTTAATCCCAACATATATTACTCACTTTTCATTTGAGGTTGAGCTGAATATATCGAACGAATTGAGAGAAAGAAGAAAGCAAAGAATAAAAAAAACTTGAACATATGCAAAAAAAAACCAACAACAACAATCATTGCTATCTTAGCATTTATGCATAATTTTGTCGAACAAATCATTTCTTTTTTTTTTTGTAAACATCTCACTTGTCCTTTCTTGTCAATATAGGTTACATAAGATGAACCCATAGATACAAGCGCACCCTGAGCGGCAATAATTTCAGGTGATGGTATATCTGTATTATATGAGGCATTTTTTGTTTTCAAAAAACAAGCATATAGGCAACAAAAAAAACAATTTTCGAAAAAAAAATCTTTGTCATGCTAGACAAAAATTTAGAAAATAACTTACAAGTCATAGGAACAGCAGTTAAATATTGCTGTTGAAATTGTATTGGTAATGGTGATGGTGATGGATAAGAAAATGCTGTTAATGGATAAGCAGCCATTGGTATACCAGTTTTAGGATCAGCAACAGCTGAACGTTTCTGTTGTTGTTGATGTTGATGTTGTACTACTAAAGCTGCTTGTTGCTGTTGTTGTTGTTGTTGTTGTTGTTGAGACTGTTGCTGAACAAAATGAGGTGAAGCAGCAAAAAGTTGTGTTCCGGGTGGCTAAAAACGAAATTGAAAACATATTTTTATTATATTACTCAATCGAATTATAAAATGATTTATTTCTTTTTTTCTTTGCTTTGTTAATATTTTCCCAAAAACAATAAAAAAAAGTGTTTTTCATCTAGAAGCTTTATAAGAGGTAATAAAAATTATCATATGCATAAAACTGACCAAACCACAAGAAGCAGATTTTGAATGAAAGCAAAGAAATCAAATAAGCAAGCATCAAAGCAAACTAGCTTGTTTGTTTTTTCTATTTCCTCCATGTGGTTCGATCAGTTTCGTTTTCATTATTTATCATATAGATTGATAAATAATAAAATCAAATATTTGTTTTTTTTTTGGTTTGTCAGTGTTCAAAGCATACAAAGCAAACAGAAAAAAAAATAAATCAAGGATAGAAAAGCGTGTGTGCAATACCAGCTGCAGGTAGGCACCGGTAGTAGCAGTATCGTCTTCAAGCGGTCGTTTTTTTGTCTGCGGTGTGATGCTGCTGCTGCTGACAGGATCGATCACTGCCTAGATTAGTAGAAAAGAGGAATAGAGAACAAGAATGTGTGTGCAACAAGCAAACTACAAACAAAGAATTAAACAACAATAAAAAAAAACACACAATAAGCTGCTATTTTGTTTTGTTTTAAACAAAAGACATATTGTTTTTCAATGATTATTAGAAAGAGCTTCTGTAACTTCTATGACGTGCTAAATTCTATATTTTATAAGCTTATAAGCACGCTTAAATGTTGCTTCTAAAAGAAATTGATAAACAACCAAAAAGAAAAATAATTTCGTGCGATCGGCTAAAAAGATAATTTTTGTGTTGTTATATATTAAGCTCAATATCATCCATTATTATCACAAGTCACGTTCACAGAAGGCAATGGCATCTGCTGCAGAAAAGAATAAGGCTACTGCTTGCTGCACAATGACATTATTATATGAAAAAATAGATAAAAAAAGAAACAATCCTTGAATTTATCTACCAACCTTAACACCTGTAGATGATGATGATGAAGATGATGATGAACCGTTACGACCGACAGTATCACCATTTGTTGAAGTAATTAATGATGACTAAAAACAAAAAGACTAATTTTGATTCTTATATGACAAGTCTTTTTCTTTTACATCTTTTAAATCAACTGATGGAGGTTGTTGTGTATAAATTGTTTGTATTGCAGCTCCTGGATATGGTTGATATGATGAAACAAAACCATTTGCATATGCTCCATCATCTTCATGAGTATTTTGTTGTTGCTAGAAAAAACAAAGAACAATCAAAATAAAAAAATATATATTTCAATTTGTTTGAAAAGATATGATTGATTAGAATTAATAAAAAAAAAGAACAAGACAAATTAAACTAAAGCAGCAATAAAGCATACAAGAAGGGGTTTAAAGCATACCAATGGCGAGGAACAAGCAGGTGCTGTAGATGTTCGTTGAGGATAGGCGTAAGTAGTAGTAGGATGTGGTGCAGCCAATATAGACTGACTACTGTTCAATGTAACAGGATGAACAAATTGTAAAGTAGATGGTGAATATTGAATAGCAGTTGTTGGTGCATTAGAAAAAAATTGTGCAGCAACTGCTGCAGATTGTGCTTTAACAGCTTTTAATTGTGCAACAAGATGTTCAGGTGGATGAAAATATTTGCATGTTTCACGAATACATTTTCCTTTAACATAATCAACACAAACAATAACAAGACCATCTGTGTCAAGTGGGCAATGTGTTTGAGGATGTGCAAGTGGACATGTGTCCGCTGTATTTAAACATTGACCATGCTGAAAATCTGAGCATACCTATAAATAAAATAATAATAGGGGAAAAAACAAGCTGAACACAAAATAAAGCCAACATGGGATTGAATATGTTTTGCCATAAAAAAAAAACGTTTCGCTTTTAAAAATAAAACAAAACAAATAGTTCTGTTCAAACAAAAAGCATGCGCTCAGATATAAACATAAAAAAGAAAACAACTACAGAAGCAAGCAATAAGCAAGAAGATGAAGAGTCCACAAATGTAAATGCATAGATACTAAGCACAAAACCATAACAACACAAGTGCCCAAATAATACACAACATATAAATTATGTTAAATAAAAACACATAATAAAGAGTAGATGATAAGTGAAAGATAGTGTCTACTATATATATATATATACTAAATAAAATTCAAGCTGGCCTCTGGTTTTGCTATAGGTTATATTGTGATATATATATATGCACTCGCTTTTATTTATCAAATAATATAATCATCACTTACATATAGCATGTCAAGATCAAGATATGACTAAATGGGATACATAGATATATGGTTTTAGTAGGGGAACAAAAGAATAGTCATTTCAATGAATGTGAACATGTTATATTTCATGCAATTTACAAATTTACTCAGTTCTAATATAAGAGGAAGACGAAAAAGATAAACAACATATAAAGATCATTTTCCCCGTCGCCTTCTCTTCTTCTCAAAGAAGTTCACTGGTGCATCACGTCAAATGATAAGCACACAAATACAACAGAAAGGATATGCCACACCTATCATATGTTATATAACAAACCTTTAAGGCATCATGATTGGAATTGCTGTTCGGATATACCTATAGAAATGAAAGTCGGATAATAACGATGTCTGATGTTTATTTCTGCTTTCTTTGTTTTTAATTTTAACCAAAACCAATAATAACCATAGAGTAGAATCAATATACGATATCAATATATAAAATTGAGCAGCAAAATAACAAGGGCAAAGCTGTACGCGCACTCGCAACGTGAATATATAGGCCTATGTGTTTGTGTATATGTGTATGTGTATTTATGAATATGAGCGAAATACATGCTTCGAAGAGCTTCGTTTATTTTATTTTTTTAATTTTTAATTTTTGTTGATTTGGTTTCTATGGTAAAGAGAGCAGCAACAACAGCTGGCAAAATGGCGGCGCGTGGTAGACAAAGAGCTGAAGTATAATGCTCAGAGCAGATTAGTGAACCAAACAGAGCTTAGAATTCGAAAGAAACAAGGGCAGGAAAAATGGCTAGCTGGTAGGTTGCTGCTGCTCATTGTTGATGTTTTTTTTATATTTGCTTTTTTTTATATTTTTTTAACTAGCTGCTTCAGCGTGCAGATGGAGCAATTATAGATATAAATACATGGGTTGGCGCATCTGGCTGCTAGATAAACATTTACACATCCCACTTACCAGAAACTCTCTCAAAACTGTGTAAAGAAGAGGATATAAAAGAAATAATGGGAGTGAACAAAAATAAATAAAAAAATAGATTCTTATTGAAAAAAAAATTCAACACATACTTCAAGACGATCGGTACGTGCTGGTTTTTGTCCAGTTGCTTGTGCTGTTAATTGTGTCACCGGTTGAAAATATTGCGCACCATCTGAACTAAACATAGGTGTACCAGGTGTAGGTTGTGATAATTGTTGTAAATGAGCTGCATGTAAAGGAATGCTAAACGCTTGACCATTTTGATTGAATAAGAATGCTGATTGACCAGGACCAGTTGGTCCAATATGATGATAAGATGGCTAATAAAAAAAAAAGCTCAATAAAAGACAAAACGAAAAAGAAGAAAAATTTCTTACAAGCGAAGTGGGTTGTTGTATAGGACTCTGAATAATAGCACCGTTGTGATATGGCAAATGAGCTGCCGTTTGTGGATAAATAGATTGATTAGCAGCAATATTCATAGCTAAAATAAAACAAAATAATAATAATAAATTCAATAATTCAAATATATTTTATTCAATATACCAATACTACGAAGAATCAAATTGTTGCGTCCGTTTTGAAGTAAAATATCGCGTAAATGTTGAGGCGGATGAAGATATTTACATGGTGGATTAGTACGATTGCATTTGCCCTAGAATGATATAGAAAAAGAAAAACAATCAATTGAAAATTTATTACTTAATAATCAATAAGAAATAAAGATAAAGAAATGCATTCAATCATTTTTCTGATTTGTTAATTGTTATTACTCAATAGTCAAGATAAAATGAAAAAAAAGTATATTTTATTTGTATGCATAAGATAAAACCAAAAAGTAGAAAGAATTCCTCTCTTTATATTTTACTATAAAATATCTAATAGATTTTCTTCTTCTTCTAACTTACTTGATCAGAATGCATCGAAAAATCTCGTATTTGTTTTTCTTAATCTTCAAACCTCATATATCAGTAATGATGATAATAGAAACAAATAAGAGATGATAACCGGTCAAGTATAAAGACAGTACATATGAATTGTACAGTCTACTCGACTCTATATATCTTCTCGTAGATTTTTTTTTCTTCTTTCTTCTCCTATGACTGATATGAAGCCTCCTTCGTTTTGTCACTGATCTTTTTCTTCGTTCTCTCTCTCTCTCTCTTCTATTCTCTATCTTGATTGCTCGTTGAAATATTCGTATGCAACATAGTAAAATATAAGACATGAAAAGTGTAAACGCTGATTTAAAAAAAAATGAAGAAAGAGATGATTTCTTCGTTCTTTATGTATGCATTGTATCCTACGTATGTTAAAGGTCGTGCTCGATGCTATAGACATACTCAACGAATCTTCAGACAGAATATAGTTCGCGTATGAGATAAACAAAATAAACAAGAACATGATCGGCCTCTGTCTTCACGATTTTCATCAATTTGATAAGTATAGTGTGTAATTTGATAGATGTCCTTAGTCGAAATATAAAGAGTTTTTTTTTCTTTTTTGAAAAACCATTGGCTCGATTCGAACGATAATTATGTTTATATATATATATTCTTTTTCTTTTATTTCTAAATTTAGAATACATTTTAAATTTCATCTTAGACGTACTTTTACATGATGAAATAACTTTAAAAAAACACGGAAACACATTTATTTTGATGAGTTTTTTTCTTTGCTATGGTAAAATTGTAAAGCATAATCATATAACTTTCAAAATGATAATCATAAGTACTATTATGAAATAAAACTTTTTTTCTTTTTGCTCTAATAAATATATATATACATACATATCTCAAAAGTACTATTTTGAGTAACAAAAGCTAACAAAAATAATATACAATATTATCTATGTAAATTACAAACCTTAAGTGAATCAAAGCAAGCGATAACTTTGCCACTATTAACTTCAACATGTGTTGGTGGATGAGCAAATTTACATTCTTGTTCGGACCGGGTGCATTTTCCACGTTGATATTCACGGCATACTTCAAGTGTAAGCCAACGTGAGTCTTTTACATTGGCTATTGATGCTATTAATGGCATATTGGCTGCTGCTTGAGCTGCAGCAGCAGCAGCCGCTGCTGCTTGAACTTGTGCAGCTGTTGTTGGAGATCCTCCTGTTGATGATGATGATGAACCAGTTAATGGTGTTACATACTGTTGATGATGCATACTGTTCGGTGACGAATGATGAGCGCCGTGTGGATCGGTTGGCGTTGCAGTAAAACTGAAAGACATTTACAAGGCTCACTGTTTGTCGGATGTATAGCACTGTTTTTTGTTTATATTTATGTTTGTATTGATATGGTATATTGTCAAGACTTCATTGCATATAGACGAATATATTAAGAAAAATAGGTTGATCTAATGTCGTATAACATCTAGAATATATTTGTGCATATATATATGCATGCTATGATAGAAAAAAATATTAAAGGAAAAATTGGCAAAGTAACCAGTACGGTCGTGAGATAGTCTATTAATAATCTACCATCATAGGCATGTACATGAAAATATATATATATAGATCTACATGTTTATGCATAGTGGAATAGCAAAGCAAAGAAGGATGTCGAAAGTAATTGACATTTTATAGTCTATAAAGTGTTCGTAGAATAAAAAACAAATCCAAGAAGAAAGAAAAATTGTTCTTAGACGAGTGGCAGAAAAACAATTCTAGAATAAAAGTGTAATTTGATCAATATCGTTGTTAGTCTTCATCATCAATCTGATGATGATGCTGGCGAAATATAAGGGGTATTCTTGTGGTTGATGGTGTTGTTGTTATGATGGGTATAGACAAGAAAAATTGCACGTCGTATAATGAATAATTATCAGAAAAATACGATCTTGAAAGCAACAACAGCAATAAGAAACATAGTTCTTAATTTTCTCTATAGTATACTATTTACTTTTCTTTTTTTTCTTCCTCTTTCATTCTAATTTTCCTCTTCTTTTTATTTTTTTTTAACTTGGCATGCCACTCCATTCGTCTTTTTCAAAGCTCCGTTACCTACTATGCATTTTATTCACGCATTATGCACCATAAATCATGCGTTGATGGTGTGAATTTGAATTTGGGCATGCATCTCATTCTTCTTAAATATATCAATATATATACATATAAGTTTTCTATAATATCAATCTAACAGAAAACTATTATATAACTAATAATTATTTTAATATAAATATAGAACTTGCCTGTGTTTTTTTCTTTTCCTGCACTTGGAGAAAAAAAGTGCTGTCTCTGATGCAAGGTCGATATAAATCATTTTGTTGTTTTAGTTTTCTACTGGTATGTAAGCGCGTCTACTATTGCTGGAGGCAAGCGATGAAATGTACAGATAGGACTCTTAATGAAGGTTTCTTTTTTTTTTTTTTTTCATTGCATAGGCAGTAATGGAAGTAAGAGAGATTGATGTGCGAATACGCATGCAGACCGTAATCGGACCCGATTGTGATAGAAGTGCTCGAACAAGGACTTCTACTTGTCATACGAAGAAAAAAAGAAAAAAGAGAAACAGCAGGAGTAACGTAAGCAAATACACCGAAATAGCACTGATGCATAAATATAATGCGACAAAATACGAAAACCGGTTAGCAACGATCAGTGATCATCGGCACGAAAGCTGCTCAACGTAAGTAACAAGGACTCATTTGCTGCTTCTTATTCATTTCATCGGCACGAGATGAAGAGAAAAAGAGACGAGCACGACAACTCACGCTCATGTGTCAAATACAGCACTACACCAATAACAGAAGGGAAAAAGAAGAAAAAAAAGAACAGCATTGTCGACGCCCTAAGTTCCTCCCTATCGACGTAACACCATTGCAATGTATATAATATATGTAAAAGAACTGCCATCATTTCTTCTTTTTTCAGTTTTCTTCGCAATTGATATTTGTACGTGTACTTTTCTTTTTCTCTCGTCTTTTTCTTTTTTTTTTTCTTTTCTCATTGGTAAAATAATGTCAAAATGTTAAAATTATTTCATGTTCTATCGTCACAAACATTTATATATATATGCACATAAGTAGACAGATTAATAAAAAAAATAAAAAAATAGAAAACAACATTCGATATGTACTATTTCTAATAGGTTCTATATGTGCATGGTTGATATTCAATAAATCGGTTCATTGAACAATCTTTATCCAATATTATTTTCTTTTCCTTTTTTTTCTTTCATTAAACACTGTTTATACTACTGTCATTATTCTTCGATATTATTGCTTAAAAATTGATAGACGGAATAGATACAAAACGACAGATAAATAATGAACAAGCACATACGCACAGAAAACATAAGCGATGACAACGAGACAAGCGCAAGGTTATACGACAGACAAATATATATATATATGGTAAAAAGAACTGGATAGATTGTATGCTGACTTTCCTCAATTAATAAATATATATATATTTATATAGTTGACGTGCATAGATACGATGAAAGAACGCTAATTTCATAAATTCGTTTATGTCAAAAAATCTCAACTAATCCATCCGATAAAGGAAATTAGATTAAATAATAAATAAACAAAATCGAATGTTTTTTGCTAATAGAAAAAAAAAGAAAAAAAACCTACCTCTTGAACCAAAAAAGAAAAAATTACATCGTATGGTTTGAACAACTGTCAGTAATCGTTATTCTGCATATGTGTGTATGTTTTTTATCTATTGCTCAGTGCTTGCACGAACAACAAATGCGTATATGGTGTTTTTTTCCTTCTCCTTGCCCCTTTTTTTTTATACCGTCTTAAAGATACTCTTACGCATACTTTTACATACGCATTTTGCTTCATGGCTTTACTCATCGACAATAGAAAACGAATACACACATACACGTATACAAAAAAAAAGAAACGTGCAAAGGTAATACATATATATATACAAGCAATAGTATCCGAAGGTTTTTTTTTCTTACCTGTCTGCATCTGTCTGTGTCCTTCTTATAGAAGATGTCAGTAGGCGAATACTTCCTTTTAGTACCAAAACTTGTGTTTGTCTTGTCGACTTGTACAAGTCATAGACCAAGGGATGACATGACGGCAACAGTGGCTCGATGCCATTTTTGATGAAATAACTTTTTTTTCTGTCTCTCATTCTCTTCTTTTTTTTTCTTCGTTTTCTTTTATTACGACTCTATTGCTGCTTCTGCTGCTGCTGCTGACAACAACATACACACACATACACGCAAAGGCAACAGGCGAGCGCACAAAAAAATGAGATTCTCCTTTTTTTTTTTTTTTTTTCTTCTTTTACTCTGTTCTATTGCTTTATGTATGGTGCTGCGTCTGCCGCTATGAGCCGCTGATGCAGCTGTTTTTTGAAGAACGACAGAACGACAAGGAAGAGGCAGAGAGAGAAAAATGCATTGGTTTCGACTCTTGTGCCTTTGCAAGCAACAATCTATAGATTTGCTATTTATTATCGGCCATTACTCTCTTCTGTGCTCTGTCTATCTCTCCCTCTCTTTCTTTTTTTTTTGTCAACAGCGCTTATATGCACACGCACCCTTGTTCGCTTATAGTTGTCATTGCACCATGTTTCGCGAACGCAGACATACATGTACAAATGAAGCGAATGATGACAGTAGTGCCATTATATTGAAGAGAAAAGCCTTAATGTTACGATGACATGTATTTTGTAAAAGGAAAAAGAAAAAGAAAGAAAAGAATTTATACACGTACTTATAAATCCAAACTGTTGGATATCAAATCGTGATGAAATTTTGTTAAAATGTTGTAACAAATGTATAAAATACGGGTGAAGGTCATCAAATAGTTTAATAGTGTGAGAAGAAAAAAAAAAGATGACGAGGCTTTGAAGAAAAACTAATCTCTTGTCAAATATCAACAACGACAAGTAGGAGCAAAAAAGAGAAGAAAAAAAAGAAAGCCAGAAAACTGACTAAAGTTGAAACCTCATATTGAAAAGAGAATAACTGAATCATCTGAAGACATCTACTTGAAGCAATAATCGGTGCGTGTGTGTTATTGACACGATACTACCGGAGGTTTACTTTCTACAGATCCGATTTCCTTGTATCATATAGCACATGTATATATATATATGCATATATTCTACAATCAAGTTTAGCATTTAACATCTACATCTATATGGAAAAAAAGAAAATTTAAATTTTGACTACTTACCTTTCATGATAAAAAATTCTTCATAAAAATACTAAGACTAATAGATTTTGCTCGTGACTGTTGATTTCTATGTGAGTGTCGTTATATATGCTCAACTCAACGCCGAATTTCTATTTGTTCTCGTAATAAATTCTGTTTTTTATCATAACAATATCTCCTTCTTGACTGTGTGTCTCTCTCTCTCTCTCACTCTCTATCTATCTCTCCCTTCTTCATTCCGTCAGTGCACACTACTAACATTACTACTACTAACTACCGTGAGTGAGTGTGATTAAAGTGATACTACTTCTCTCTTTCTCTCTGGCGATGGAAACATATTTGCATAAGAGAGAACGAACGAGAGTATAAGAAAATTCTTTTTACAGACTCGTGAGAATGCACCGGCACAGTGGGAAAAGGGAGAGAGAAAATAAAAATGCTACGACGACTGTGTCGGTCTTTTTGCTGTTTTTTTTTTGAATCTCTCTAGGGATATCAACAATCAAACATTGCTATGCCCACTTTTTTTCTCTTTCTGTTTCGTTTTTTCTTATGTCGAGAAAGAATCAGTATCGAAGAACATAGAGAACAAGAGAAGAAAAAACACGGTTTTTCAGAAACAACCGCATATATATATAATATACATTCCTTCGGACACAAAGAATAGACGTGCTATTATTTTACTAAAGCCCTCGAGAAGCGAGTCATTTTTATTTAAATATTGAGATTCACTCGAGCATCATTCTGACCTGATACAAATACGTTGATCAATGATCCTTGAGTACATATAACATGTATATATATGATGAAGTCTTTGCACCTTGTTAACGACGATCGATGTTATTACGCAAGTTCAATCATCAAAAAACGATAGAATGATAAGAGAAGAAGAAAAAAAAACGAGGAATTCTTTTTGCTTGTTCATCTTTCTCTTTCTTATACTTTACTCGAAATACTGATATGTGTGAACGACCTTCAATGTGAGATGAGATATATAGAAAGAAGGAAGTAAAACGAACAACCTTTTCTGAGAGCACGTTCGATCTTTTCTCGCACGCATGCGCACATATACAGGATGTACGCCAAAACACTTTGAATAC